AGCTATATGTGCCACCATGAAAAGAATTCTGGGGGAAACCCCTGGGTTATTACAACCGGTGCAGACCCTTCCCAACCATGGGAAGAAATTGCTATGGATTTTATAGTAGACTTACCTGAAAGTAGGGGAAATACAGTCATCTGGACTGTGATAGATCTGTTTTCAAAGAAGGCTCACTTTATTGCCTTCAAAGGACTCCCGTCCGCCCAACGACTAACCAAGATGTTCCTGAAACACATCTACAGACTGCATGGTGCACCAAAACGAATAATCTCTGACAGGGGTGCAGTTTACAGCTAGGTTTTGGAGGAGTTTTCTTAAACTAATTGGCTCATCTCAAGGACTATCATTGGCCTTTTACCCGTCTATCAATGGGGCGGCTGAATCTGCGAACTCAGTGGTGGAACAGATCTCTGATGCTATGTGGATTATCAACCAATGAACTGGACTGACCTTCTCCCTTTCACAGAGGTGGCTTACAATAACTCTGTTCACAGCAGCACTGGCTTCATGCCTTTTAAAGCGGCCATAGGAAAAGAGTTCAGCCCAATATCCGAATATCCTCAAGGACCCTTCGCTTCCCAAACTCTTGATCAGTGGGTAAGGGGGTGGGAAGAAGTCTAGAAAACCACAAAAACTGCTTTGAAAAAGGCTTCCGAGACATACACAAAACAGGCAGATAAAAAAGGGCTCCTCAGAGGACATTCCAAGTTGGGGAAAAGGTTTATCTGTCCACCAAATATTTATGGCTTAAGTTATCTAGTAAGAAGTTAGGACTGAAGTACTTAGGACCCTTCCCAATTGTAAAGATCATTAACCTGGTCATGGTAGAATTAAAACTTCCCAGGCTCTTAGGGAAAGTTCACCCTGTTTTCCATTGTAGCCTGTTGAAACCTTTTTGGGATTCCACCTTAAGACCTCCCCCTAAGAAGGCACCTGGACCTCTCGTAGTGGCAGGACAGATTCACTATGAAGTAAAGTGCATTCTTGATTCAAGAATTTTTAAAGGGAAATTGTAGTACTTAATGCAATGGAAGGGATATCCATTGTCTGAGGCCACCTGGGTGAAATCTAGCAAGGTAAAAGCTGACAGACTCATTAATAGGTTCTATAAGAAACACCCTAACAAACCAAGAAGCAACCACTAACCTATGCTTTTGATTGCATTACAGGATTTGTCCTTTTGTCAGATGTTCTTGCTTTGACAACAGATGGAAATGCAGCCATTTTTCTCTATTGCTTTTAGAGTTAGTTGATGCTGGGAGGGGGAATGTGGATGAGAGTCCAGCTAGTCATAAGAATAATAACTCAGCTGTGGGAACCCAAGGTCATTGGGCCCAGAGTCGATAGAGTTTTGACAGGCTGGAGAGCTGGGGAAAAAGCCCGCACTTCAAGCTAATTGGGGAATGTGATCTATGACTGTTTATTGGAGGAGGGAATTGTGCTTTCTTACTTTGTATCCAGGAGAGGGGAATTTAGTTTTTGGATTCCACTATGTAGTGCCGATACTTTGTTTCTCAAATAAAAGATTCTTTAAGGTAAACAATGCCTCAAAGTTCTTTTGAAGAGTTTCATCTGTCGGAACCATGACACTTATATTTATAATTGTTTCAGATTCCTAAAGTTAAATTAGAATAAAATCAGTGCATTTTATTTATGTACTAGATATCCTGCTTTTCATATTGGAGAGATATCCTACTTTTCATATGTCATCCAGTGAACTTCTATGACTGAAGTAGACAAGAATGTGGGCATTTCTGGTGTCAGTCCAACCTTAATCACTATCACACTACATCTGTAGAAATTATTTTTTCAGATTTTTTTTTCTCCTGCACTAATTTCCCTGTTTTCACCAATAGCAAATATTTAAAAGAAATTTTGCAAATCAATAAATAAATATGCATAGTTCTCATAGAAAATATTTCTGAATTGTGAAGAATCTATATGAATCCCAAGTTTAAATGAGTTTCAATTTTTATCATGTTAATGTGATTAAGTAATGCACATGACTGAACTTCAGTTATGATTATAATGAAGAAAAAATAGTAGCGTTTGTCTTGAAAGAAATTACATAAATATTTGACATTGATATAGTACAGAATTGCATCATGCATCAATATTTGATTGATGGAGAGGGAATACAATATATAATTAGGAGTTAACATAATGTTAATAAAGAAACATAACATGTGAAGTATGTCCCAAACTAGATAAGAATGTTATAAAAGGAATACATAGATGGAACCAAAATCCTTTCAGTGAGAATTGTATATTATTTCTTGGTTCCTATCACTAAGCTCTTTTGTGTGTGTGTTGAAACATTGTGGAAAAGCCAGTCTGATGTACTGTAGTAGATAAAGCATCAGGATAGAAACTTGGAGACTGTGAGTTCTAGTGCTGCCCGAGTCTTTCCCACTGAATGTCTAGTTTACAAAAATAGAAGAGAAACTTCTGTATGTGTTCTAGTCAGTCTCACATATATAGAATTGAAAAGTTGACAAGTTGCAGTTTAGAACGTCATCCTTGAAATATTATCTTGTACTAGAAGATCAGTAACAAACTGATTTAGTATTGTATATTCTCCTGCTGATTATTTCCTTGATTCTATTATAATTGTAGATATTTGTTCTTTTGGGTCAGGATTGTTTGTTTTCCTATATGATACATAAAAGGACAATAAAAGGGATAGCTGGTAGATCAGACATGTCAAACTTGTGATGTCATGTGATCACGAGACGTATCGGGACTATTTTACCATTGTCGGCAATGGGGTGGGCACGGCTCCGGTATGATAAAACCGGCCTGCGGGCCAGTAGTTTGACACCCCTGTAGTAGATGATAGACATAGATCACATTGGAAGATGATCCAGCTGAATTATTTGTTGCACTTGTGGTTGATATTATTGTCATTATTTTAGAGACAGACTTGGGAGATGGATTTGTTGTTGGCTGTAATTCCTGTGTTTGTGTTTATATAGCCTATAGGTGCTGATGTATGGTAGGTTTTCTGTAAGCAGCATGATAAAGTTGTTTAAATGTCTAGGATGGGCTATAGCAGTGATGGCAAACTTTTTAGAGACTGAGTGCCCAAAAACTGGCCCTGCCCCCGCTCCACCCCCTGCCCCGCCCCACCCTGCCTGCCCGCAGGACCATTCACTGCCTCCAAGGCCCGCCACAGATCACCCAGGCAGCCCAGCAGCGCCATAGTGGCCACACCCTCCTCCTGCACTCCGCAGCATCAACTGTGCATGATGGGGCATGAAGGCAGAGTCTTGTCTACGCTGCCTGGCTGCCATGTCCTTGGCTGTGCTGCTCCGCATGGGCCACGCTCGGGGGCGATTCTCCTCCAGGGGGCTGCTGGTAAGGAGGGGTCGTGGGGGGAAGCAAGGCTGGGGCAGCGGCACGTGTGCCCACAGAGAGGGCTCTGAGTGTCGCATCTGGCACGCATGCCGTAGATTCGATACCACTGGGCTATAGTGATATACAAGAAAGGAAAGGTTCTTCTTGGAATAATAGTAGATCAACTTTGCTATCCTTCTAGAAAGTAAATAGTATTTTCATAATATGACACTGACATGAAAAAAATTTAATTAAGATTATACTTTATATGATTCTTGTGTCATATTGTCAGCCCTTCAAGTTACACCATCAGAAAACAGACTCCACAAGAGTGCTGGAATTCTGCTTTAGTATACAGATACGTACTTGATGATGAGCTTTTCAATTGCTACCCCCCCTTTTGGGAAATATTATTAACCCGGAGATCTAGATGGTTCATAATCTGTTGGGTTTCACAAATGCTAGCAAAACCTGGCCTTTTCAGCAGGCTTTGAAAAGTGGAAAGTTGTGATATGTTTAATTAATGTAGAATGTTATTTATCTCTGGCATTGTACTTTCTATTAGTAAAGTACAAAAAATATATTATTCTATTTATTGTATTTGTAAAACACACAGTTATTTGTATTTTAGACTTGTAATTTTTAATATTATGTGCACAAATAGATATGAAAGCTGTTCTGAATCAGTTCCGATTACAGTGATCTGAAAATCAATTGATCATTCATATTACTTTGAATCTTTTTCACTTGGTGACAGTTTTAGGGAAAATACCAATATTCAGGGATGGACAGCTGATATAAGCAGCTCTAACCTCATTGAGCAACAGTAAGCCCTGTTTATATGAACTTATTTAGTTGTTTCTTTAAAGCAGTGGTTCTCAACCTGTGGGTCGGGACCCCATTTGGGGTCGAACGACCATTTCATGGGGGTCGCCAAACAAGGCTGTCTGCCATTTTTTTCCCCTTTTCTTTGGCCATGCCCCTGGCACCCGGTGATGTATAAGTGGTTGGGAGTCACCACAACATGGGGAACTGTATTATGGGGTCGCGGCATTAGAAAGGTTGAGAACCACTGCTTTAAAGCATTTAAATAGCTGCACATCTTAAACTCTGGGTGGCTAAAATCTCCAAAATAAAAACAACATATGTCAGCAATGAAATAAAACATTAGAACAAAGATGTCTTAATATCACAACTAAACATTCCCTTGCAGCCTACAATAAGTTTGTTCATGTGAGAGCAAAATGCTATAATCATTATAAATGCAAGCCAGTTGCCAAGTGCCTGAATTACAATCACATGACTGTGGGACTGCTGCAACAGTTGCAATTTCAAGGATGGGTCATAAGTTACTTTTTTCCAGCACTGTCACAACTTAGAACTGTCATTAAAAGAATGGTCATAAGTCCAGGACTACTTGAATGCATATATGTGAAAAAGCATTAATATTTTGTTGATGAGCTAAGTAAAACTGGTTTGATCATGAAGGTTTCTTTAATCAACTCTACTTCTAAGAAAACTTTTTTCCCACTGAATGAATTCTATGACCTCACCTTTTTGAGATTGGTTAAAATTATGTTTTATTAAAAACAATTGTTAATTTCCTGTGTCTTAGCACTCATTTCTCTCCCCTTTTTTTCTCCTCTCCCTCCTCCCCCCAGACCTGTGTGTGGAATCAGAGGGAAAACTCTCATAATTAACCTTCCAGGTAGCAAGAAAGGATCACAGGTAAGCAGTGTTTTTCATGAGGAACTAAAAATCTTTTGATTATTACAAAATTTCCTTCCATAAATAGTATATATAATTTAATATAGTGTAATTAGCAGGAAAGATGAGAATTATTTTAATAAATACCATTCATTCAGAAAAATCCCATCCATTTTCCCCCACTATAACTCTGTGAAATAGTTGAGCTATGAAAAAATGATTGGCTCAAAGGCCAGGGAGCTTTCATTCTGAGAATGAACTAGAATCTGAATCTTCCCATTAGTAGTCTAGCACTTTACCCACTATAGCACCATGGATCTCATTTTTAGGATTAAAATCTGTAAAACCTTCAATATCTTATTTTCCCTTATTAAGGTAAAGATTTCCATGTCCAGTTATGTCTGACTCTAGCGTACAGTGTTCATCTCTGTTTCTTGGCCAAGGGAACCAGTGTTGTCCATTTTCCATGGTCAGGCACTCAGAATGCCATTACCTTCCCATCAAAGTGGTACCTATTAATCTACTCACATTTGCATGCTTTTGAACTGCTAGGTGGGCAGGAGGTAGGGCAAGGAATGGGACCTCACCCCATTGCGCAGATCTTGGGTCTCGAACTCAGGCTGTCACCTTTCCAGCTGACAAACTAAGTGTATTTAATCACTGAACCATCACTTCACCTTATTAAATGCGGGGGGAACATTTGGAGGTTTGAACTCTAATTAATTAGTAATCATTCCTTTCACTTCCATTTTGAAAGTTAGCAAATCATATATTTTAACATAATATGACATTCATTAAACCACAGGCATAACATATTAGTATCTCATTCTTTTCATAAACCTTATTTAGCTAAACACCTCCTGCTTTGTTGTGAAGTCAAAACTGGCAAACAGTAATTTGGATGATGTCTCCAAATCTGGATTGCATACCGGGATTTTATTTCAGTTTTCAACCCCTGTTTAGAAAAATTACTCAAAGCATAGTTTGCCAGATCACACATCTCAGTAAATTGGTTTTACAAATATACAGTTGGGCACATAAGAAGTTGGGCACATAAGAATAGAATAGAGAATACAGTACATACATGATTCACCTCTTTGAGTCTTCTGCAGCTGCAGGGAACCCAAATATTTAGACTGGGGGTAATAATGCTAACGTCTGAATTAACTTTATTGATATAAATGCCTGACAGCCAACATATCCATGTACAGTCTGCAACTTTATCTACTGGCTGGTCTGAAAAGTTCTTTATTATTTAACACTTCCAGATACAGTGTAATTCTAGGACATAGTGTGAAAGCTTGTGGAGAGCTTTCAAACACAGTTGTTTATTTTTTAAACCCCAGCTCAGGTGACTCCCAGACAGAAGGGACCACCATTCTGTGTTTTTCTGGAATCATCTTAGGCTGAGAACCAGCTCAGCTACAAACTATAATTTGGACTATTAGAGAGTATGACATCTGAATGCAACTCTTGCAATACAAATATTTTTAGAATTAAAGATTTTGTAGAATACTTTTCTATAATCTAACTTCTTCATACCTGGGTATTCTAACAAAATGAATAAGCAATGAATAAGTACATATTGAACTATCAAACAATAATAATACTTAGCATGGGAGCCTGCTATATATGCAGGCTTTTGAACTTCCAGCATTCCACTCTGACGATGTTGGCAGTTAGCCGATGAAAGCTAAGTTTATCAAACAGTTGTTAGTTTATTAAACAGTTGTTTTTATATTTATCCCGCTGTTCGACTATTTCTCTCTCTCTCTCTCTCTCTCTCTCTCTCTCTCTCTCTCTATATATATATATATATATATATATATATATATATATATATATATATATACGATTAAAAAGGTTAAAAATATGAACCCTGGGAATATTCATAGTGAAGATATAAAATGAACACCAGGGTAATAAAAACTGTAAAAGTTTTTAATAAATTAAAACTATAAAAGTTTTAAAAAGCGCCAAGCTTTCGCCGTCACCTGCCGGCATCCTCAGGGCTGGCGCGCCAGAGAATGAGAAGGTCTTTGGTTGATGAAGAACTCTCGCACGCCGCTATGGAGGAGGAGGGAAGATCGGAGAGCGGCAAGGTGCGGAAGATCGAGCCGTTACACCCCCTACCTGACGATCCTGAGGACTCCCATAGAATACACGCGAATGCTTTTAATAACGTAAAAAAGGGGAGAACTGAGGAAGAGCGCTGCAACCAGGAGGGACGCGGCTTGACCGCTGTGCACACACCCCCTGGACCAAGTACTCGGAGTAGGACACGCGCAAGACAGCTGGGCATGATAACGGACAAGAGACGATACCTCCACCTTGCGGAACACCCCCCCACGCTGCACCGGACCCGTGGCAATTTACGAGATCATCAGGATGACGGACACATTAAAAACGAAAGTATTGAGACCGGAAATGAACGCGATCCTAGAAGTAACAACCGGACAAGATATGGTGGAGAAAGGAATGTAGAATGTGCACTACCACCTGAGCCTGAGGGGAGGTTAGAATATAAAGGCAACCAAAATAACTGGAATTGCCATCTAGCTAATTCGGAGTTGGGAGAGTTGGAGACGGATGAAGATAAAAATGCAACCAAAAAGAGAAAAGAAGTACAGGTTAATTGCACACAGCTGAACCAATTAGGCCCGATGACAAGATCGAGGAGCCGGGCGCAGACCTCGACACGCCTATAAAAAGACCTTCTCATTCTCTGGCGCGCCAGCCCTGAGGATGCCGGCAGGTGACGGCGAAAGCTTGGCGCTTTTTAAAACTTTTATAGTTTTAATTTATTAAAAACTTTTACAGTTTTTATTACCCTGGTGTTCATTTTATATCTTCACTATATATATATATATATATATATATATATATATATATATATATATATATATATATATATATATATATATATATTTTTTTCTGAGGTTTTCGCGGGTATTTGTATATAGGTCTTTGGTTGTTCGGGTTTTCTCCCGCGTAAAATTGGAAGTGTCTTGGCAACGTTTCGACGAAGTCACATTCGTCATCTTCAGGCTGGTGATTTTAGCTTCTTGCTTTGAGCAGCAATGTGTGGTTTTAGCTGTTTCTTCCTTTTAACTGCCAGTGAGGGTATGAACTGATTGGATGGGAGCTTGGCTGTGTTCTGATTGGGTGGAGGTGTGTTCTGAATGGTTAGGGGCTTGGCTGTGCTCTGATTGGCTGGGGGAGTGTTCTGTTTGGTTGTGCTCAGGTTAGTCTGAGTTGCAGAGGGGTTTAAGATTTTGGGGTTAGGGAGTCGTTTGTCAATAAGGGCGGGTTTCCAAATGGCTGGTAGGCGGGAGGTATCATCTCGCTTGTTCATGCTGTGTGGGCGTTTTTCTATCTCGATGGCTTCTCTGATTATTCTGTTATTAAAATGTTCACTTTTGGCAATGGTTCTGGTATTTTTAAAGTCAATTTCATGTCCTGTGGCTTTAAGGTGTTGGACCAGGGAAGATGTTGGTTCCTCTTTTTTGACTGAGTTCTTATGTTCTTCAATGCGTGCACTTATTCTTCTGTTGGTTTGTCCGATGTATGTGGTGGGACAAGTGGTGCATGGGATTTCGTATACTCCTTGATTTTCTAATTCAATTTTATCTTTGGGGTTTCTAAGGATGGTGGATATTTTTCTGTTTGTGCAGAATGCTGTTTTGATGTTGTGTTTATGAAGGATCTTACTGATTCTGTCTGTGGTGCCTTTTATGTATGGGAGGAGGGCTTTGCCGTTTTCTTGTTTTTTGTCTTGGATTTTGGTGGGGGTTTCTTTTTGGATTAGGTTTGTAATCTTATTTCTATGGAATCCATTGGATGTTAGTACATTGGTGAGAGTGTGTAGTTCGGGTTTTAGGTGTTGTTCGTCAGCTAAGCGTTTTGTTCTGGAGATGAGTGTCTTGGCTACAGAGTTGATCTGTGCTGGGTGGTGGTGTGAGAGAGCGTGCAGATAGCAGTTTGTGTGTGTTTTCTTCTGGTTTTCTTCTTCTTCTACCTATCTTAACGTGTTTCTAATCTATTTTTTATGGTACTATTTTTGATAGGTTGGACTGTTTTTTTCTCTTTGTGTAAAGACGGATGCAAAAAACGAGTTAAATAGTTCTGCTTTCTCCCTGTTGTTTGTCACCTTCTTGTCACTTTCTCCCACTAATGGACCAATCATTTCCTTGACTTTTTTCTTGTTTTTTACATGTTGAAAGAAACTTTTTTTGTTATTTTTGACTTTGGTCGCAAGCCTTAGTTCATTTTGAGCCTTAGCTTTCCTCACTTCATTTTTGCAGGCTCGGGCTATTTGCTGATATTCTGCCTTAGTTATGTGCCCCTCTTTCCACTTGTTATACTTGTTATACATTTGCTTATATACCTGATAACTTCATGGATGACTGGTGACTATTAAAAGAATTTGTTCTGTGAAATGGAATCTATACATTGTCAAACAGTTGCAAAGGTTTCCGCATTTCTTTCTTTAGCTCAAATAGTGCTCTATGTGATTATTTCATGATCTTCATCAAACCACAGGAAAGCAAATCCCATAATTCTGTTTTTCTTTGATATGATACAATAGTTATCACTTTAGTTTCTTTGTCTTTATATATTCTAATTCTTTAGTTATAGTATAAATTATAACTGTTAATAAGCAGAGTTCACAGTTTGATTTTTTTATCATCCTTTTTGAAATATAATATTTTAGACTTTTAGAATTTTATGTCAGTAAAGAGCACAAAAAACACTGTTCAAGGGATTTTTCCTGAAGCTGCTTTTCCCTCCTTCCCTTTCTTCATACATCCTTTTATTAACTTGAAATCACAGGTATAAGATAAAGAAATCATAGATAATTGAACGGACAACCTATCAACAGCTATCAGGCAGAATGCTGGATTAATTACATTTTTGTGAGATCACAAAAAGTGCTTAATTTTCATTCTTTCCCCCCCTCCCACATATATTAAAAAGGAAGAAAAGGAATAAGGGTAGTTTCTGCAGGTCTTTCTAGCCTGCTCCCTCCAACCATTTAATTTAAGGATGTAAACCAAATTTCCTTTATTAATACAGCGTAAACTGATATTTTTTTGAAGCAAATATAGAGGGCAGGTTGCAATATGCCTCTGAAAAATAAATAGCGTTATAAGAGCAGGCAGGTCAAGTACAATAAATAATAGAGAAAATGTTAAATAGAAGAAAGAAATGGTGTGGTATGGCATATGTGGTGTGGCATGGTATAGTGTGTGGTATGGCGTGGTGTGGCATGGTATACTATATTATGGTATGATATGGCTACCATGGTGTAGTGGTTAATGGCTTGGCTTAGCAACAAGGAAACTATATTCTAGGCCTCCCTTAGGCATGAAAACCAGCTGGGTAACTTTCTCACTTTCTTGCAGACCAACCCACCTCATAGGGTTGTTGTTGTGGAGAAAAATAAAAGGTAGTAATATTTGGTATATCCACCACCAAGGGAGGAAGGACGGGAGGAAGGAAGGAAGGAAGGAAGGAAGGAAGGAAGGAAGGAAGGAAGGAAGGAAGGAAGGAAGGAAGGAAGGAAATGTTCCTTTGTCCCTTAAGTCAGTTTAAACTAATTTGTTTAATATGTTGTCTGTCAATAAATATTAAATTTTAAAAGCAAGTAATAGAAATATTGTTCAAAGGTCTACCCTGGCCTGTATAAATTTATGCTCAGTAAAGTTTGGCAGTCATGTTTTAGGATTTCACTGGGAGATAATTTCAACTCTCTTGAACTGCTATCTAGATTTTTGTTGGCAACTTTCTGCAATAATTTCAGACATTCCAAGTGTTTAACACATGGAATGGTGAAACCAAGAAATTCTAATAACCGACTTTATCAAAAGATTTATTCACTACAACATCAAAAGGAACCCAGGAGGTTCAGGGATCAGAAAATTAAGATGTTAGAATATTATCTTTCCTAACATGGATACTAAAAGTACTAAGAACTAATATTTTTAAAAAAATGAACTACAAAGAAAAATAATTTATATTAATTAATATTATTTAAATAATACATTAGATATTATCTAACCTGTTGCAACATTTACTTCATCTAAAACATGTTAATTACTATTTTGCAAACCATATAAAATATGCTAGAAGAGGAAGAAAAGAAATCCTAGATATTGTGAAGTTTAAAAAAGAACAACATTCTGGTAAATTCAAAATTTTCCATTAAAGATATAAAAACACGTCAAAAGTATATTAATTTAGAAGTTTATTCAATTTTAATATTATAACTGTTAAATATATACTATATTTTCTAGGTAAGTTTTCACGGTCATTTTTCTCATTATGCGCAGGAATGCTTTCAATTTATACTACCAGCCCTACCTCATGCCATTGATCTTTTACGGGACGCCATTGTAAAAGTAAAAGAGGTTCATGATGAACTTGAAGATCTACCTTCACCACCACCACCTCTTTCTCCTCCTCCAACCATCAGCCCTCACAAGCAGACAGAAGACAAAGGTGTACAGTGTGAGGAAGAGGAGGAAGAGAAAAAAGATAGTGGTGTTGCTTCAACAGAGGATAGTTCCTCCTCGCATATAACTGCTGCAGCCATTGCAGCAAAGGTGAGTTGAGGTTCTGTAAAAAGGAGCACATATGTTTCTATCTCAGGTATTTTCTGTATATAGATAGAAATCAATCAGGAGTGAAGCTGATTATTTTTTCACTCTTTAGCTACAACCATAAAATTTCTAGATGATTAGTCATATTTTTTCTGTATATATTATGCTTTCTTCACTTTTTACATGAATTATAAACATAATTATGCATCTGTCAAAAAGGGAAGTAAGATGCCCAATTGCTATTTTTCTATTTGAAACATTTATGCCACGTTGAATGGCATTTCCATGTTCCCATAGTCATACAGTGTGGCATTTCAGTAGGTTCAGAGGATTGCAAGAAAGAAGAAAGAGGAGAGAACATGCTCTACAGTAGGTACATAAAAAACTGTTATGAGTGATGTCATTGTCTTAAGTTCAAGCACCAATTATGTAGAAGTAGGGTTTTTTTTTTTAGCACTAATTCATTTATCATCATTTTCTGGAAGTAGTGCAGTAGAAATCTTGTAGAGCACCAAGTCCTCAAGTTAATTATCTACTTATGGAAAAATTGCTGCTGCTTTTGCAAATTTTTCAATAAATTTTGAGAGCACTGCTCAAACTTCATAATGGCAAGCTTCAATTAAAAATATTAAATTTTATATATATATTTTGGAAATCTGTCTCAGATAAGTTTAAAATGATTTATTTTATTTATAATTATAGAATAGTTGTTTGGGCCATGATGTCTGTTACACCTCACGTTATAAAGTCAATGCTGAAACCCTTATGTCCAGTTTAAATTATTTAGTCAAATGTTAATATAATGAAACCAATCAATTGACAACAGCAGAAGTTGAATATTTATTTATAATTCATAAAAGTGTTTGAGATTATGCTCTCCCCAGGCCTAGACAGCTCTTTTACACTTTCAGGCAAGGAAAATTCATGTATGCTTGTTTTTAGAATAGCAAACATACCTCCTATTAAAATGCTACAGGTAAGTGATTGAAAAATTTTAGCTTATTCCTGGGCATTGCACAGAACTCTGAAAATTCCTTGTGAACCTGTATTAGTTTCCATTTTGTATATTTATATATAATAATTTTCCATTAAGAGCTATAGATATTATGCTGGGGGGGGAGGTATTCCCACATTTATTCCATAACTATCTAGTAAAGTAGCTTGATCTAAGAAATTGACTGACCTCTAGCCAAAATTCACCCAGTGAGCTCCTTGCTTGGATGTGGATTTAACTGTGGGTCCCTCTAGTTGAGGCTTTTTATTCGAAGGAATGTCACAAAGAAATCAGCATTTATCTTTACAGGATTTATCTAATAGGAAAAAAGCTGATTGGGATCAGGAGGTACACATGTGTACTTTCTTTCCTTAATTATCTGAGGTGAATTGGTTAATAGAATGAGAATCTAATTAAAAGCAGAAAATGCCTGAGAACTAAACTGTGCTCATGTAAATATGTTGCATTTAGTTGTGCCACCTGTTTTCACTGTCTACGCCATTTTGTTTATTTAGCTTCTTATTTTCCTGCCATTGCATTCATGGTTATTATGTATTGTACATTAGAAGCATCCATCCTATACCAGTTCTGCTGTTATCATGGCAAAAGGTGAACATCCCATTCCTGGTCTCATCTGTTATCCCTCTCACGCACCAGACAGTGCAGGAGAACCGGTAAGACACACCTACCAGAATGTTTTGCACAAATATCTTCAGTCAGACTGCTTGCCTTCTCATTGTTACAAGGAGCTATTGCTATTTTCTTTATTTCCAGTGACATACTGTGTTGCTCTCTGAGCAAACAATTTTTAAATTTCCATTCTGTCAATTTTTATGACATAGGTAATATTTAACATTTATTTTAGCTGTGAAGTATTAATTTTAAATTTTATTGCTCTCTGATTGAAGACTTGTTTTGGTTTAGATTCATTTATCTCTGGAGACTGCTCAGAAATTTTAGACATATTTCTATTACCATAAAACTAAAATATTCTTCTGTACTTCAAAGGAGCCATAGTGCATGCATTTTCAAATTACTTGGCTTTGGATAATATGCAGATATTTCTGGTAGATGCTTTTACTGATTATCCAATGCTGATTTTTTTTAACCACTTGCTCATCATATTCCAGTACTCTTTTTTTAAAAAAAAAACTTTATTTCACTCACAAGATGGAAACTACAGAGATAATATCTAAGTTGCCTTGCACATGTTTGTCATTGCCCCCTTCTAAATTGGTCAGTTATCAAATCTTCTGTTGCATTATAATTAGAATCTGAATGAAAACCTCTTTCTAATTCTGAAAAACAATATTTGCCAGCATTAGAAAGCTGTGATTATGAGCATTAGTAAAAAATCCTTAACTAAATAAAATTACCATGAGTAAGCTTGCTTCTCTATTTTTTTTTCCTATAAGCAGCTAGAATATTCATGTCTGCACTACTGTTGTTATAGATAGACAGAAGAAGAGCGATGCTGGGATGGGTGTATATATATGTTCTTTTCACCTTCCCCTTTTTACAATTTAGAAAGAAGGCCCTTTCCCAGTTCCTTGCCAAATATAGGTGGATAAAGCAGAGAAATATTGTTGGAAGGGGTCTCTCCATTTCCTTGTATTGGGGGAATGATAATTGAAACACAATTCCCTCACAAGGAATAGACAGTTAGACTTTTCTTGTACATCCATATGAATAAAATTATCTGGAATAATTCCCATTATAACAAAAAATATAATATTTTCATCTTTTATATAAATGCTAATTCAGCAAACAAAGTGAGTATAGCCCCACTTGAGTCTTTTTCATTTCTCTTGTAAAATACAAGGCTGAAAATAATTCCTTTTACCTTTTAAAAACTTGTTGTTCCACTCCTATTGTTATAGCTGATCAATTCGTCACTATCCTAAAAATCTGTGAACATAGCCATGTGTAATGAATTAATTTTGTTGTTTAATTAAAATTGTGAACTACAAGCAATAAAAAAGAGCACATAGTATGGTTTTTCCTCTTCCTTTTTTAGCCTATGTCTCATCTCCCCTGCTCTTTTTCTTCTGCCTGGTTTTCACCTCCTATCTTTGAATCCTCTTGCTCCCATCAATTTAGCAAATATCTTAAGATGTCTTCTTCCTGCAATTTTCTTGGATTGTTATACCATCTTTTGCACATTTATTTCCTCCTTTCTATCCCCTTATTTTCATTCCCTTCTCCATGCATCCTAGCTTTCATTGAACATTGGCATGGCAGAAGGAAACATCCAGATTGAACACTGAAGAGCTGTGTTTCTTACAAATACAGATGAAATGCATTAAGCCTATTGCCTTTTCAATCCTTGCTCGGGTTGAATTGGAAAGGTAAAAGGGAATTTTTTCCTCATGACGTATCTGTGATAGTTTAGAAAAAGGATATTTTATTTAATCTCACTTCCAGGCTTTATGCTTAAAGGAAAGTTTGCTTGCTTCCATTCCAAATTTTAGCCATAAACACTCATTTTTTTCTCAGCCTCAGAACTATAATAGAATTGCACTTAAATAAAATTAGACTATTTTCCTATTTTCTTACATCAAGAAACATTTGTGAAAGACTTTTTAAAAAGTGATTTCTGAAATAAATATAAAACCAAATTATGCTTAATTGTATATTCTTGATAGAGTTACATTTTCTTTGTAAGTGTAATTTATGTCTTAAATCTCATCAAAAGGGCACAGCACTTTCAGAATTAAATATTAGAATTGGGCATGCTTCAGATATTATTCAAAAAGTGCTTTAAGAATGCATGGGAACATAAATCCAGCTTTACTTAAAGCAATTGTATCTATCTGCAAGCTTCCAAGATAGCCTTAAAAAGATATGGATGCTTTAAGTAAATTACTCATCAATGCTGATTTTTTTTAATGTGACTTCTTAAACCATTAAAGAAGCAATTTTTATTTACATTAAAAGTTTCTGTAATGTATGTGGGTATGACCTTGGAAGATGGAGGAAGAGATGCTGCCTAGGGAATGATCAGATAAGAGAAGGCATAGCCTGCAGCTGCATAATGGACCGAGGAAGCAACTCAGAAAGGAACTTCCCTAACTTCTCAGACTATAAAAGAAACTATGGGAGATTTGTAGTATCAGACTTGCAAGTTTCTGTTAATTTACAATAAAGTAGAATTAGCTCATCTACTTAGGTTTCCTGCCTGATCTACTTGGGAAGGCTGATAATCTCTAACATGAAAAAGTACAAATGGAAATCTTCCTGCTTTTAAAGAAACAACTTTAGACTTCAGAACCTATTTATAACAAAGTCTGTATAGATATTTCAAAGTTTCTTTAATTTTAGGTTTCAAAAAACACTGCAGGTTCTTAGATTTAAAAGTTACTGAACTCAGTCCACTCAGCTTAGCATTTATGTGTGAACAAAATACTGTTCCAATTTTTTTCCTAGACTTAAGACTTCAAATAAATTTATATGAATTTCTTTCCCTGGGTAGGTTTTTCTTGTACTCTATGGGTACTTAATATTAGAATAACTCAATAACAAAAAACATTTATACCTTCAAGTTTTTGAAGAACTCTGGATCACTGGGGAGAACCAAGTATTATAATTTACCTGTAACAGAAGAAACTAAACTGATGATACTGAGCCTTGAGAGGAGAAAAAGAACAACATCAATTGGTGCTAAGATTTCTTTGTAAAGCAGAAACACAGAAAAGCATGAAATGACTAATATTGCCGAAATAAGGCTAAGTAATTTCTCAGCTGTAATTTATAAGGCAGATTTTGGTTATTGGGTATAATTTAGAATAGCCTAACTGGAATTTGGAAAAAAAAATGCCTGATCATTTTTCATGTTCTTTTCATGAAATAATACTGTTGGCTACATTAGGCATACTGTCAGATATTTTTTAATTTTCCCTCCTTAATTTTATGTATAGTATCTGCCAACATTTCTCTTTAACATTGCATATTCCTCATGTTTGTTTATGTTTGTTGGTTCTTTCTTGCATCATTTTTTTTTCTTTTTTCCTTTTGTATTTATAAAATAAATCTTGTGACTTGAAAACATTATAGTGTGTAACCCTAGATTAGTGAAAGAGAAGAAAAGGAGCAAGAGGGAGATGAGAAAAGGAAGAGAATAAATTCATTAAGTTAAGTAGAATTATTTTGCTAAATAAGGACCTAGATCCAAAGAATTCATGAAAGAAATTGAGAAAATATAACAACCAAGATCAGAGAGCACCAAGGACACCACATACCTATATCTTTTATGGTATAACCAGTTAAACAATGTAATTCTTAATATTAAATTCAATTTTAAAATAGAAATCTAGATTTTTTTTAAAAAAAATATTTGGATGGATGGATGGATGGATGGATGGATGGATGGATGGATGGAGACTGAGATAGACAGAGAGACCTAGATATACATACACTCCAAAGTAAAAATATTTCCATAAAATATAAGCAGCATATAGATAGAAAGAACATCTTATGAGGGAAATGTTTAAAAGGGTTTCTTATATTAAAAAAATAAGATCCCCTAAGAAAACTGGTACTTTAATTATCAAAACAGGATTCAGTAATCTGGAATCTGAGTAAAAATCTCTAGTATAGGTGACTAATGTTTTCTGCATATTTTCATAAGGTATATTTTATGTAGAGAGATAGATTTGACTCCTATGTTAATTAAATTAGGGTGGGAGTCAAATATGCAAATTTCTTGACTGCATTTTATATTACCATTAATAATCTAAATCGAACTAATTACAGAGAAGAACTATCAATTTATCTCTTAACTTGACTTGGTGAAAATGTTACATCTTCTTCTTAATTATATTGTTTGCAGTCCTATGTATTTTCCTAATTTGTTTATTTTAAATGTTTATGTTCCACATTTGTTATTTTTTTCTACACAGCTGGCTGTAACCAGTAATAAATTTATATAAATATAAAACCATTTTTGAAGTCATAGATGACTAAGATTCCCAGTAAATGACGAAGTAAAATAATAAAATGGTATTGGTTCAGCAGGGATCCGATACTATTAATAAATTGTATGGTGTCACCAAAGAGTACAGTATCCTAGCAACCAGGCTTAGAAAATGCCAGATTATTTTCATCCTGAGGCCTAAGAGTATCTATGTATATCTACCCTCCAAAGCTCTGAAATTGGCAACCAGAAAGAAAGCCTTTCTGTAGTAGTGCTTGTGAATGGAAATATCAGTAAATTTAGTTAAAAATATCATCCTTCCTGTTTTTTTAAGAAAATATTTTCAACCCTGTTTTCACATTAATTTATCATTTTTAAACATGCAGGATATCCTGCTGTAAAGAAAACCCTCTAAGCCAATGGTTCTCAACCTGTGGGTCGGGACCCCATTTGGGGTGGAACGACCATTTCACGGGGGTTGCCAAACAACGCAATCCGCCATTTTTTCCCCCTTTTCCTTAGCTGTGCTACTCCCTTTTATTCTATTGGCTTTTGAAAGCCAATAGAATAGACTCTCTTGAATAGAGTCTAATTCTATTGGCTTTCAAAAGCCAATAGGAATTGTCCAGGCTGTCTCTGCCCTGCTGAGCCCGCCAAAAGTCCCATTCTGCAAACGGTGCTGCACCAGTTGAGTAGTCCTTGACTTACGACTGGTTGAGTAGTCCTCAACTTACGACCAGTTGGGGGTCGCGGCATTAAAAAGGTTGAGAACCACTGCTCTAAGCTGTTTAGAAATTTGTGAAATGGTCTAAAAGCTCTTTCTCTCTTTTTTTTTGCTACCATTCCAAATAACTAGAAAGTTGCTGCTACTTTTATATTAAAGCTGAGTTGGAAGCTATTGTTTTTTAGACAAAGCCGATTTTCCTTCTCTATCAGTTAAAATCAATCTTGGCTAAAATTGCCATTCAAGCAGCCCAATCAATCTTGAGACTTTTTGCCTAATTTTTTTTTAGGACTCCTAGTCGATTGCTAATTGTATTAAAGAAAGAAGATGTGTTGTGAGAAAGAACAGAGGACAATAGATTTTAATTATTTATTACTTCAGTGTATATTTTCCCACCCATTGGGAAATTTATTCCACTGGACACTCAAAGGACTAAGTATATATTATAACTAGTTAAACAGCTTAATAATTCTAAAATGGTAACTGAAAAGAAAGTTCTTGACTTCTTTTCTGAAGACAAAAAAAAGGGAGAACTGATTTCAGCTCCAAAAAGGCTTTAAGCTGTATTTAAGTATGGAAATATTTTATTTTCTAAATTATGTACATAATTTCAAATAGATTTAATTTCAATTTATTTTCATATTTAGATTCCAGATTCCATCATATCTCGTGGCGTTCAGGTGCTTCCACGAGACACAGCCTCACTTAGCACTACCCCTTCAGAATCCCCTCGTGCCCAAGCTACTTCTCGCCTCTCTACTGCTTCCTGTCCCACACCAAAAGTAAGTACAGCAGCTTGCCTGCATTCAGAGATGGGAACTGTCTTGATAAATGTTTTCTGCTGCTGAAAGGTAGCTCGCATGGAAGATTATACTGTTGAGAATCATCAAGGAGGTGAAGATAGTATATACTTAGGTTATATTGTACATACAAAATAGTGTGTTGTGTATATGTGTATGTGTATATAAAAGCTTATATATTTAAATTATTGCCATTTATTCGCTTTAAACTTGCTAATTTTCATACCTATTTTTAAAGATATATTTGAAAGTGCTATCTTTTCTTATTGCAGTATCAATCATGAGGCTGTGAATTTCTTGCAGGGCTCTATTAATTCATAAAATTAATCCTGCTCTTGAAAAAGAGAACTAAAGAAATAGTTTATTTTTGTAAACACATTTACACCTGAACTGTGGCATTTTCTGCTTCAGTGGCCTGTTAATGTACAGGTAGTCATCAACCTACTACCACAATTGCAACCGGAATTTTGCTCACTAAGGTCATTAAACAAGTTATCTCGTGACCAGACCCAATTTTACAACCATTTTTACCACAGTTGTTAAGTGAGTCACAGAGTCATTAAGTGAATCCAGCTTTCCTTGTCAGAAGCTGGCTAGAAAATTCCAAATAGCAATCATGTGACCATAGGATACGGCAACTGTCATAAATGTGTGCCTGTTGCCAAGTGCCCAAATAGCGATCACATGATCACAGGGGTTAGTCACATTTTTCAGCACTGTCCTAACTCCAAACCATCATTAAATGAATGGTCATAAGTTGAGGACTATCTGTACTGCAAGCATTTTCAAGACAACAATTTTGCCCCAACTTGGATACTTGCTGCCTCCTCTTTGGAAACTCTAAATTATATGGAAACTTTTAATGCCAGCCTATGAAATGACAAATTTGTACTTTAGATATTATTTCACGTGGATTGTTCAGGACTTTTGCAGGTAATGTAATGTATTTGGTATAATACATAACATAAAGTGTATCCATAGCAAATTTGGACAAATAGCAAATCTAGTAAAATATAGCTTCTCATAGAACATGAATTCTTTTCTGTTTGCTCTTTCATATGGCAAGGCTTTATTTCTGGTATTTTAATACTAACATATTTAACAGAAAACAGAATAAATCTAATGAAATGTTTCTTGGTTCATGGTTCTTTGAAATTACAAATCTCTGGTTATTATTTTTTATTTATTTCTGCAAGCCATGTTAAGGTATGTCAAGCTATTAACTTATATTTTTTCAACGTTCTGACATTTGTTATGATGTATTACATATGTTGGATAATAATACATACATTCCTGAATAACAAAAGTAGACTTGATGTAGAAATGTGTTCAAACTTTAGAGTTTTTTATTGTTTTTCTTGTTGGTTTTGAGAATATCCTTTTTTCTTTTCAAAATTAATTAAAACCTATTACAAGGTAATAATATAATAAACCCTCAGTTTAATGGGTCATTTAGAATCAAATATTTGTTAAATCCATAAATAATATCAACTTCTGTCATCTGTGTCAGTTCATCAATTTGCATTGTTACCATATTAAATAGATGATATAAATAGATGCAAATAACCTAATCGATATAATTTGTCTGGACAATCTCAGATACAATGGTTTTTGTCTGTTTTTTTTTCCAAGTGATTTTCTAGACGGAAATCTTGTATCTGAAGTCCTCTAAACAAAAGTCCATTAAAATGAGGATTGATCTATATTTGAAAATTTACTAAGCTTGGATGAACAAGATAAATAAAAACTGAAAACCCAGTCTGTGCCTTAATTTCTCTTTTTTATAAAAGCAGATGTTGCACATTTATTTTTGAACTGCTTTTGTTCAGTGGAAATAAAATCAAAAATTATTAGTTACTTTTAAAAGAGGATATTGTACAGAACATGCACACTCTAATAAAATGGATATGTATGCACTGCAACCTAATATGAAAAAAACATAGTAAAATTTTTCTTCAAGGAATACAAATTATTAAATTATATAAATAATATAAATATTTACCTTTATAAATAATATAAAGGTAAAATGTAATGATTGAAATTCCTTGTAACACTGCATTGGAATATGATTTCTCATGACATAGTCACATATATTTTAAATTAGATTGAGTGTCAGTTACAAACTTTTGAATAGTCTAGCTCAGGGGTTACCAATCCCTGGGCTGTGGACCAATACTGGGCCACGGCATGCCAGCAACCAATCCACACAAATAAGCAAAGTCCCATCTGCAGGATGCAGGCAGCACACAAAACCACACACCCTCCGGTCCGTGAAAAAACCTCTCTCCACGGAACCAGTCCCTGGTGCCCAAAAGGTTGGGGACTTCTGATCTAGCTTGCTGTAAAATTCCCTGTTCTCCAGTCCAGATTATGTTTTGGGGATTCTTTTTTTAGGTGGCTTTGTGCAAGCCCTGCAGAAAGAGTTCTAATATGAACAAAGAGCAAAGAGAGAAAGCTTTTCTCCCTTCTCATTTTAAAAACCTACCTGATAAAGTTTTCCTGCTCCTGATTTTCCTGATAGTTTAAATGTCCTTGCCCATTTACCTATATTGATAGTTAAATTTTCAAAAATTCTTTCAATGTCCAAATCTCATGCATCTTATACTGAGTTTGTCCATTTGTATTTCTGTTTCAGAATATGAGAATGTTTCCAATTCACTTTATCATATGCCTTCTTTAAAATGATAAATGTACCATAATCTTTTTGACAGTCACATATTCCTCAGTGACCTACTGAAGAATAAAAATTTGATTTGGGTTCCCCTGGCATAAATTTGTGATGCACTTCTAAATTTTAATAATGATTCTTCTTCATACACTTTCACACAAAATTTTGCTAAACAGAAAGTTTTGTTACCTATCTCTTTGTAGAGAGGAACAATAATGGCATTAATCCAATCTTCAGGATCAGATACAATCTGCATATAGATATTAAGCAAGTCATATAACCATGAGCAAATCATATTTTTCATAGAAACTAATGTTTGTAACCTTAATTACACTCTTCTACCAATCATGATCTTTTACATAAAAATCTTACTATTCATTCTCTCAATTACAAATAATTTCATCCATTTCCTCCACTGAAGATTTCTTGTTTAATCACATCCATTTCAATTTTTTAAAAAAATCCATAAAAATAGTTGATTTTTCTGTCTTTTTAAATGTTAATGATTCCTTGCTTTCTTAGGGTATATTAGTTTCAACTATTTTTTCCTTTCTGTATGCATTAGGGGTAGTCAATCTTTTTATACCTACCGCCTACTTTTGTATCTCTGTTAGTAGTAAAATTTTCTAACTGCCCACCAGTTCCATAATAATGGTGAGTTATAAAGTAGGGAAGTAACTTTACTTTATAAAATTTATAAAGCAGAGTTACAGCAAGTTAAAGCATATAATAATAATTACTTTCCTAATACTTTATGTTGGACTTTCACTAAGTTTGGCAGAATAAATCTTTATAAAACAATTTACTGTAGTTAAATCTATCTTTTTATTTATACTTTGCATACATAGAAGCATGAAGTCTGATGAAATTACATTTAATTAATTAAATTATTAATGAGATCCCTGAGGCTGATGCTGCGAAACTAAATACTGGATATCTGGCTCAATTTTTGTAAGGAACAAACGAAGATCTCCTCTTTCGGAAATATTCAGGTGGTTTCTTTTTTTGGTCATAATATGATTAATAGCACTAAAGCCTGATTCCACAAGATATGAGGTAGGGAAAGGTATCAATAAACTGAATATCATTTTCCATATATTTGGATATAAGACAGGCATTTTTTTACTTTGCCATAGGTTTTCATATCGAATTTATGTTTACTTTCTTCATCATATCTAATTTCTAACAGTTCTTCTTGGCAAGTTGTATCAGCCTCTTCAATATTTGCGGTAAAAGGATTTTTCATCCAGTCATACACCTTCAATTTCAAAATATCTTCAAATTGTTTTTCCATGTCCAATTTAAGTTCGTTGAGGTGGCTACTGAATCTGTCAATATCCTCTGGAGTTACATCATCTTTTATAGATGATAATTCAGGAAACTGGTGAAATTCTCTCTTCAAGAGATTATAACGAAATAGTTCAAGTTTGTCAATAAATAATGACACAATACTTTGGCATTTAACTGTTTTTAACTGTTGACACAGATTGGTCTCATTATTACTTTCAAAAAATTGTATGACACTATCATATAATGCTACAAAATGAGCCAAAGATGTACCCTTTGACAGCCACTGAACTTCTGTGTGCAAAAGTAATAAAATCTTCATTATTGTCCTGGCAAAGCTGTCGAAACATTCTATCATTTTTTGAATTGGATTTGATCTTGTTTATGGCTCGAATTATTTTAGTTAATGAGGAATGGAGACTTGTACTTAGATGTTTTCAAGATGTTGTCTGCGCACCACACAATAAATACATAAAACATTTGGCACTTCTTCCTTCAAATAAGCAACAAATCCACGATAGCGACTTACCATTGATGGTGCTCCATCAGTAGCGCATGCAACAATATTATTCAAAGGAATATTATTTTTTGTAAAGTATGATTTCACAGTATTAAAAATAGATAATCCTCTTGTATCTGTAATGAGATTTATTGCAAATAGCATTTCTTCTCGTAATGTATTGTTTTCATCAAAATAACGTACATGTGCCATCAATAAAGCATTATTATCTGCAATGGTAGACTCGTCCAATTGCATGGAAAATGAAGAGTTTTGGAGAATACTTATCAGTTTTTTTTCAACATTAACTGCCATTTCTTCAATTCGTTGATTTACTGTGCTATCGCTTAGGAGCAACGTTTTTAAAATTTCAGGTATATCCTGATGCATTACTGTTGAGATAAATTCTTTTATAGAGGCTATTATTTCAGTTTCTCCAATATTATAGCTTTTACCACTTTTTGCAATTAATTATGAAATGCGATAAGCGGCAATTAATCCATCTTCGTTTGCTGCATGTTGTTTCTT